GGCATTAAGTTAAAGAAAGGATGGTACAATAGTACAATTTCGGAACATTCCAGGATTGTAGACAGTCAATGAACACAAAACATGAGCATGATTTTGGGTATGGTTATTAGTATGTAAATTACTGACTATTTGGTAAACTTACGATAATTTCTAAACGGATATTTTTACAACCATAAAACACATATGCTACACGAAAATATTCTCTAACTGGTTTTCATATAAGATCTTAATTTGATTTACAACACCATGTGCATAAATGTATAATGCGTGTCCATCTCTAATTTTGTTGCCGTCATTGTCAATTTTATGTTTTTGTCCATTGTCATTTTGTTATTTAAAATTTTTTATCAGTGACAAACCTATAGGTTTTGTTTGACAACCTTATTTTCTAATCAGAATGCAGAATCTCATTTAGCAACAATTTCGCTGTGACTGGAGTACTATTTTTTTTAACTGAATTATTTACACAATTTGGGTGGAGCTTTTAGAACACTAATTCTGTTATACTTCTACATTTAGATCTACGGATTTTTTTTTTTAGAAAATCTTACGCAGTGTTTTACTGCATATCATCTGCAGTGCTCTAAATTTATATAAAACACCTGCAAAGTGTATTGCAGGAAAAAAAAAAAGAGTTTGAAAGCGAATAAAATGGGTCGAATTACTCGAAAAATATTATCCTTGGTACAAATTATTGAAAAAATCTTCACCGACTCTAAGATCAATATATTTTTGTTATTTGCTCCTGTAGGATACATTCTGCACTTTTACATAAAGAATGACATATTAGTTTTTGTGACAAACTTTCTGGCAATTATACCAGCGAAAAGATTAATGGAGTTTGCAGCTGAAGGACTTCCATGTTACAACAGAATTAATCATTTAGGTCTATTAACATATACATTTGCCAATGCAATTGAATTCATAGTAGCTATAATAGCATTGATGAATGGTGAAATTCGTGTTGTTCAAGCATCAATGTTAGGCATCATATTTTATAATATCCTACTTGTATTAGGATCGTGTTTTTTATTGGGTGGGATTACTACTTTTATAAAAAGTAAAGGTCGTCAGATTGAACAAAAGTTTAATTCGACTGCTTCACAAATGAGTTCCAGTTTGATGACTTTGGCATGCATTACTCTAATTTTACCCACTGCACTCTACAGCCTTATCAATAGAACTTTTAAGCTTTCCAGTGAAAATGATACTATCAGTGTCGATGATAAGATGTTGCATATAAGTTATGGAATGTCGATAGCGTTATTGGTCGTATATGCACTTTATTTATGGTTTCAGGTATTATAAAAATTCATTTATCTCAATACTTTACATTTGTGTGTTCCTATAGTTTATTTTCTTTTATTGGTGTAGTTAACAACCCATAAAGGCCTAGCTGTAAACGAAGATAGCGAACAAGAAGGTAAAGGTACACGTGAAGTCGAATATGAAGACTTAGAAAGCGGAGAACAAGAACATGAAGACATAGAAAACAGAGAACATAAACATGAAAACGAAGAAAGCGGAGAACAAATAGATAAAAATAAAGAAAGTGAAAGACACATAGGCAAAAACAAAGAAAGTGAAAGACACATAGGCAAAAACAAAGAAAGTGAAAGACACATAGGGGCGACGGCGTCAATAATTTTGCTAATTATAACGATGGTGATTGTCTATTTTTCAGCAGAATTTCTCGTAGGATCAATTGAAGGAATTGTTAAGGCACTTGATATAAGCGAAACTTTTATTGGTTTGATTTTAATACCTATACTTGGTAATTTTGCTGAGGTAATCAAAAATGTTGACGTTATAATAAATTTTATTTTATTTATTATTATTTTTTTAACAATCTTTTACGTCTTTAATATGTAACAGCATATACATTCTACTAGTATTGCAATGAAAGATAATATGAATCTAGCTATTGGTATTACTGTTGGATGTTCAGCTGTAAGTTATTCGATAACATAATGATAATGTAATATCTGATTTTTAACTTTTTTCATGTATCACAATAAATATAGCAAGTCGCGTTGTTTATTATCCCAATCTTGGTAATTTTGGGATGGATTATTGGACAACCAATGTCTCTACTGTTTTTACCTTTTGAAGCTGTTTGTTTGTTTATTGCAGTTTTACTCAAAAATCAATTAGTTCAGGTATGTTTCTTTAATATATATTTCTTTGGAAAAACTTAATGAATTCAATTTCTTATTTCTTGTTTAAAATGTTCCTTTAATTCAGGGTACGTATTATTATCTCATTATATTGCTAATGCA